ACTATAGTTTCTTTTCTCGGTGAATTTAGCACAAATTTTCCCTCAATGTCCATTGTAATAATATACAAAAACTTCAGCTACTATAAACAACTCAACTTTCAAAAGCATGTTTACCTCTCTTGATATTTGAACTGTTAAAGGCAATCACCTAAAACAGTGGAAACCACCAAATCAAACCAACCAAAATGTACACAATACTCTAATTTCAGAAATTTTAGGTGCTCAATATTTTCTGTATGAGGGCGAAAGGCATGGTTAGGTGAACAGGAAAATTAGGTACAGAGATGCAGTTCCCTATTGGATTATGTGTGTTATCTTTTGTTCGGTGTATTGAGATTTGATTTCTGCGGGTTGTATTATTATTATTATTATATTTGTCCTCCACCAATGTACATGCAGGGGAAATTTATGATCGGAGTGGCGTGCGAAGTGAACGAAGCCGCCTTCCCATACTCCATAAGAAGTCTGGTGAGGCATGAAGTAGGCCAGGACATCTCCTATTCGTGCAACTGCCGGTTCGATGGTCCGAACACACCCGTGAATGCTTTGCTGATCTGCACAACTCGCCTAACAGTATGCTCAAAATCAACTGCCTGAGAAAGAATGATGATGTAATGCTGATGTCATAAACGTATGAACACAAAAATCATACTGTGCATTTCTACATGTGTCACTTCACTCTCTACATGGTATGGACACTCGAAACGGAGAAGGGCTGCACTGGTGCTTCTATTCATAATATAATATCCCTTTACTGATATGACGATGGCTTCATAATTTGTATCAAAATAAGAATGACTTTTAGCGGATACGAACGTGAATTTAGAGTTTTCTGCTATCCTCTCGTATTTCCCATGTACATGTACCGTAAGTGCTTGATTTGTGTGCATTGCTCGTTGATTTGGTTTTCGCAGGATCTTGTAATTATCTTGATCTTTTACATTTATAATCTTGTCCGCAGTGATTGATAGTTTTTGAAAAGTGGGTGCATCCAAAAGAGGGGGGGGGGTACTGCTGACATAACAAGAGTAATCTTCTGTGTTTTTTCATTAGGTGCTGAAACGCGTTGGAAAATTTAGTTGGCACGAATGGCTTTCACTATCTTATAACTTGTTCACATTTACCACAAGATAATAATGTTTTACTAAGGTATACAATGTAGCTACATGTACATGTATGCCTATTCTCATGACCAATAACATATCGCGTTTATAAAAATCCGTTATAGCCACAGCGAATCTCACCTTGCTTTACCTTTCCTCGTCGCAATGTGGGTTATCGTATCTGACATCATTGATGCGAAATCACGTTAGCGTGCCTTACCTGCTCAGTGCTGGCTGCATTAAATTTAGTTTTGTGCGGAAGAGAGCGCCCTGAGGAAATCCTGCAGCTCTACTCAACACATACTGAACTGACTACAGTGAAAGCTGTCCTGCAGAGGTGCTTGAAGCTAGCTGTCACTTTATCGGAGGCTTGATGGCCTTCATTAGCGGAGCACGCAGATTTGTTTGGGGACTGTGGGGGTGTTTGGGATGCCTTGATTTTCAAGTGCCAGGCTGGGGAAGACTTTGATCTGGAGTCATCGGCCTCTACCACTAAACTGGCTGTACAATGACCAAGGGTTATTAAAATGTCTACACTTGCCAGGGCTGGCGTCATGTGAACGACCAGCGCGAACCAAACTACATACATGTGTAATGTACTTGTGTAGTGTCTGCCAGCCTGCTCGTGTCTGAGGCACTTTGGACTTACACCAGAAAGTGATACAGGCTGACAGCACTAGCGGGAGGAAAACAAGCTCTTGGGCTTAAAACTCTTCCCTTCATAATTCCACAAAGCAATGAGAAAGAATGATGGGTTTATATAGGCCAGGGGACGGAGCAGCTGGGAGTGACGGCAAAAGAAAGCAGGAGAACAGCAGGACAAGAAACAGTGTGGGGGAAAGAATAGACCTACTTCGAAGTAAGTGGCGAGCAACGGGTAGGGCAACAGGAATGACATCTAAACCTGTGTAGCAAAAGGAATCTTACTTGTAGGGCTAGTTATTGGGTGGGAAGGATGCCGGGAAACACGCTATTCAAAGAAGAGCAGCTGAAGAGCCCGGGGATGCGGAATGGCGTATGAAGTAGGACTACAGAGTCTCGTAGTATAGGTCATGCCGTACCGGTCTTGCAAGCAGGGCTATCTAGTCCTAAGTGGTTGCGCGGGAGAAGCACTTAGATAGAATGTACATGTAGCTAGCTGTGAACTACAATGTAACTACTGGTAGAGATTTGGCTGGGTGATTACTGACAGTCAGGGATACTACACTTGTATGTCAAATTATGTTGGCACCTCCGTGGTAGGAAGAATTCTGAAAGGTAGCAGCTTGTGTCTTCAGAACTATCATTGTCTTGACTGGTAGAAGTCTGATTGTGTCTAGCGCGTGGATGTAGACGCCACTGTGTGCAGTAATCATGTTGTTCTCCGCCTTTACTCGGTCCTTGCAGGACAGACCTTCTATTTTTCCACACCTCCAACAAACATTCTCGAGTCTTCCTGTCTTGTATTGCACCAGCATGTGCGCGTACTCATCCTTGACGAGCTTGAACTTGCATGGAGAAGTTAGGCCAGTACAATAAGGATTTACATCCATAACTGGGCCACCAAGAGAAATGATGTCGCGTCCACAGATCACAGTTTTACAGATCACAGTTTTTCCGTGACATTCAGTGGCGGTGGGAGGTGAGCTGCATCTGCGCCTTGATCCTTGAAGGGTGGTGGCGTTCCTACGGATGCGGAAAACCCGGCTTCCAGCCGAGTCTCACGCGAACCGTGAAATTTTTTTTTTCAGTGGCGGGGTCAGTAGTGAGAATTCACCTCGAGACAGCTGGTAACAAAATGTCACACGTCTCGCTGACCGGTCCCTGATCCCGTATCTGTACCCTGAACGAAGGCTTTCTCCGCAGCGGCACGATCGGAAGTTATTTTCATCTAACGAAGAATTTTTCATTTCATTATTGGGCAAAACAGTTGGGAGGATGACGATGACTTGAATAATCTCTGGGACAATCGCAGCCCTAAAGGCAATCACATCCCTTGGGGTGCTCGGTCAATTTTCATTTCCTTTATGTCTTATCACCTTGTTTGTGTTCCTGCATCCTAGTCCACCAGCTAGGCTAGGCAGGAATTTTTTTATTTTTGCACAGCTTTCGCGAACTCCAAACTGCCAGAGATCAATGACGTGATGGAAGCAAGGGGCTGAAAGTCTGAAATCTGTTGCACTGGTTCATGCTCATGCACAACAGGATTCTCGTGTAGCTTTGCCACTTTCAACACACTCTGATCATTGGAACACAACCGATTTCATATCCATTATACTGAGTAATGTTACTACAATGATGATAACCCGATGGCAGTTCGTGTACAAGTATCGGGTCATGTTGCGATGCCAAATTTGTGTTGGTTTCATTCCAAGAGTGAAAATTACGTGTATAGGATATGTGTTCTGGAGAGGATCTCTCGTTACATGTACATGTGTATAATTATTATCTTCATTCTTACGCTTGGGTTGGCGTTAGGATCATTACTACCGTTTCAGACCGACATTGTGAAATCACATTATTTCTCTAGTCTTTTCGGATCTTAACGTGCCGCATCAATATTGTAAGCAGCTTCGGTATGTTATGTTACGCCAGGCAAGCAAAGACGATTTCTTTACAGTTTCAGAACCACCGGATAGGACCTAGCGCCCGTTTTGTCTCACGAAGCATGTCCCTATCTTGCTCCCATTGTCCGACGACTAAGTGTCAAGTACAGAATACTCCATTACGTTTGCTCTCGTAATTCCGTGAGCAATGCACAATGCACGACACAGAGCTATATCGTTTAGTCAACATACGCCGTTGAGCGATTGAATGAAAGAGGTGTCGTGAGAATTTGAAAGATACCAGGGAATTCACGTGCAAACACACATCACCCTCTCAGAGTAGAAGTCAATCCATTCCCCAAAGGAGTCAAACCTAAAGCTTCCCTTGGAAATGCTGAAAGTACTCCTGGCTTAGTCGCTTCGTACCTGGCTAAAAAAAGGTACAGTGAGTGTCATTATCCCAGTCAGGTCTAAGAAGACAAGCAGCTCAAGGAAGCAGGAAAATACCAGGCAAATCGCCACCACCAGACCTGTCATAGTACACACACCTGGAAGAAGGATCCAAAGCGTTTCTTCTGGGACTCTAAGCTTTAACCGATCATCACTTGCTATCTGATGAGCGTTTAACCGTGAACTTTCAGAGCTACAGCAGAAGCGCTTTTAGTTCCTTCTTTGAAGTGTGTGGCTCTGCACCTGTTCTAGGTGTCATGAGCACTGTCGAGATCAACCGCAACTCTCTCCCAGTGTAGTATGTATTTTAATTATTATTCCGTGTGTCAAGTTGAGCATGAGCTCAACTAGAAATATCAAGCGGGGAATCACACTTCAGAATATGTCCAGGATGGGTAGTACGCAGGTGTTCTGTGAATACATTACATTCAGCTACATCTGGATATGGATCAGACCATACCGCCCTGCCGTATCCTGGGACATGTCTGCATGTGCTTGCAACCACACTATAACTGAGGCGGAGCTATTGCACCACGACCTGCAATTTACACTACTGTGAGTTTTTTTTATATTTTTTACTAGAGCCACGTACACCCGTCATGTGTGAGCCATGAATAAGGGGAGTGGTGGCGTGATCTGGGATGCTCTACCGACCTTGGGTCTCGGCTTCATCAAAACCAGGCGCGCCAACATAATACTTGTATGGTTTTTGTAGGCGCTACTTAAACTTTCGTTATCATCAGTCCTTGAATTATATTGTGGTCATTTCCATTACCAGTATGTTAACGCCATCCTTGCCTGACGCATGAACTATCCACCTCACTAGCTCCGGCACTGGTGAAAGTTCGTAAATGTTCTAGCGGAAAGGAGATGTTGCTCTACTTATTCTTACCCCGGTTCGATTTGTTCTTTCTTTAGCGTCTGCCTTTAGCGTGTTGGTTTGCTTTTCCGAAGCTCTCGGGCGGGTTTGTTCACCACTACAATTCCACCAACGTTTTTTTCTCTGAGAGGATTGCATGCTGATTTGTAGGAATTCACTTGCAATATGTGCATTGTAATCCTACTGGCTTTGATATGCATCTCTGCAGCGTTTCCTATTTCCAACCATTCAAGAACATGTAAGTGGTTGAGAGCATCTATAATTTTGGTCGTCTGTGGTCCTGGATGCTACAAGGAGGCTCTTAGAACTCCAATTGGAGGTCGCCGAAGCTCCTCCAATTTACATGTATTTTTTTTGTGGATGTGTGTTTCTTTCGATAAAGTGAACCCACCATTCTTATTGTCTATGTGACCCTGTGAATGCAGTTATTCTGCCCCAATGCGACAACCAATGTGCCAAGACCTGTAAAGCGTCAGGCACGACATGGCACATGAGGTGCGGCTGGGCTAGATTTGCTACCTTCTCCAAGGATGGCCAGTCAATCGCCAACACCTCAGCACTAACAGCATCCAGCATGACAATCAGGAGGAAAGTCAGGCACGACGGTGACTTGCAGGTGTAAGTTGTTTTCTTATTCACTTACAATTTTATGCAGTATTATCATGCAAAGAAGTTGTTTTATGCCACCCTAGCGCTGGATCCAGTGCAGGAGAAACAACTTCCTTATTTATCGCGGAGTCCGCTACCAAACTTTCGTACTGTATTTAATTAGGTGATATTAATTGCAGTATAGAACGGGAACAATGACCAACCAACATCATCAGACCGTGCAGTCTGGACTTAGCTCACTTCGAATGGAATAACCCTATTCTCGGATTCCATGCAGCTTGCACTATTAACAAAGGTAGTTTCCGACGCGTGCGTCTCTTTGGTTGCATCTTTCAGACTGGAGATACTGGACGTGCAAGCAATTTACCACAGCGGCGAGTATCGCTGTCAGGGGGTGGATGAACTTCGAACCAAGGTCTGGACAAAATGCGAGTGCCTAGTAGTTACAGCGCAACAACAGGTGAGCCTAGGCAACAGACGAGTAATATACCCATATGATTTCGTTTTAAGAGGCTTTGCGGCTTTTAGCCGAATTAAATTGGGATTATCCCATCGCATCCCGTAATGGCTTGATTTCTGACGGTCTGAGGCTTTACGACAAACCAAAAAGAAAATGTAACCCAACTATGCAATTCCAGTGTGATACAGAAAGAGGTAAGACCCAACACGGTTGTAGTGGTTGTTTCGGTTACGGGATGGCTAAAATTTGTCTGTACCGGATAATATCGAACGAACTTAACAAAACGAGTTCATGATTTTAGATCTCTCTTGTTATGGTAAATGAGTGTTCGAGCTCACGAAATTAAATACTGCTCAAGTACCTCATGATTTTCATGATAATATCATGAAAAGCATGAGGTGAACAAATTCATGCAATACACTGTACGTGCACAACCGCAGGAACACCAACAATGTCTGGCGGCAACACGGCCGAAGATCTATCCGCCGGGGCCGCGCAATGTGAGAGGCATCGAAGGTCAGCCCAGCCTAGTGCTGGATTGCTTTTCAAAAGGTACAGCTCCAGCTGAGTTCGCTTGAATCTCTAGTGTTTCTCCCGTGTACATTATATTTTTATTCCTTTCTTATGTTTGTTTTCTAGATTGAAAATTCTGTAAATTATTGTATTTTCCCTCAAAACCAGTGAATAAAATTTGATTATTGGATGTTCACGTAAATCAAAGCCACTGGAGATCAAAATAGCATCCTGGAGGTACATGTAAATATTTCTTTGTTCTTTACTGGAGGTGCATGAAAATCCTTCTTTGCTTCTTTCCTGTGTCGTATTCTTGCTACCCATTGCACTGAAAGGCGGTGCTACACACTTTCGTCGATGGCTCTCCAATGGCACACTTATCCCAAACGCTAACCCGTGGAGCAACACCTACGTTCTGCGGAACGTGACGAGAACCATGGCCGGCCAGTACAGGTGTGAGCTGCTGGAGAAGCATAAACGAGAATACTATGACAGAGTTGATTACTTCGTCACAATACAGCAAGGTATGGCAATGCCAATGGCCTGACATGGGCCTGACATCCGAAAATGCCAGCTGCGCAAAGGTGCAGTGCTCCTGGACTCTTAACTAATTAGAGATGTATAAGGCGGGAAACTCAAAAGGTGTTTCACGTTGTCAGCCATATGATTTTGACATGTGACAGTGGAAGACTCTGTTTGCACGAGATTCTTTGGCACAGAGTCAATCCGTACAGTAGCACGGTGGTATCAGAAGGGATCGCGGCTAAACTGCAGCACAATCGGAGTATTGATTTCGCGAAGGAGTGTGCTCATCGTGGATTTATGACCCCTGGATTTCGCCAAGAGAACAACAATCTTATGCAGACTATCAGAGACCAACGTCCAGGGGTTCTTCAATAATGAGACGCGTTCACGAAAGTGTCTTTGCTATGCTGGTGTGCTTGTGCTTCGTGCATTGGTTCCGCTAAGAGGGCATGGTGGCGACGTGTGAAGGATAATAGTAAATGGGTATATGGGGAAAGCTCGGTCGCAATATTTTATTGTTTGCAGATTTGTTTGGTTACTGGCCAATCGAGATTACTGGTATTTACAATGTCGCGGAAGGCTACCTCCTCATTTGTATGTTACCCTTGTTCTGCTCTTATTCGGTACAGGCAATGTTAGCTCAGTGATCGTGGGGCCGCTGAAGGTTTCACCTTATTTCTTTGCCTAACCTGGCAGCAAAGCATCGACTATTATTTTCATCATTTACCTCATTCACATGTACATGGACATTGATTTTTTTTCTTTTTTTCCAGCCGTTCTTCCGGAAGCACCAAGTAAGCCTGAAGCGCGGCCCGGATATAAAATCGTGAACATCGAGCAAAACCGCGAGCCAAAAACCCATCTTATCTTCCAAAGCACATTCCGTCACGGTCGTATGAGCCTGGCGGTGAACCACCTGGTCGAGAGGCTCGCGAGCAGAGCCGACCCCAAGCAAGACTTGACGCCGTCAGAAGTCAGCTCCAGACTCCCATACATGTCCTCGTTTCTGATGCTGTTCGTAGACCGAAAGGTTGACTGAACAAAAGACATTTGAGTATAGTGTAGAAAGCAATGCAATTTGAGGTATGGCTGTTTGCTCACAGTATAATTTAATTTTAGATTATACTTCTTTATCTTGTGTAAAGGCCAACATCCGTATCTAAACACTATCCTTGTGGGTTGCTATGAACATAGGCATGGATCCTTCAAACTGTAAGTGTGTGCAAATTGTATTGACAAAATAACCCTATCCAAATCCCTCAATTGATCAATACAATTCATGTTGACCCTTCTAGTTTTCAGGGTGAACAAGCATGGATTGTACTTTTATAATTATGTTCTATCAGGAGTCTGTTTCCTGTGGAACGTTATTTTTTCTGATTGACTGAAAGGAAAGAGGTCCTGGAAGGCCTTGAATAGCTGGCATACTTACGATTGTGCTTACATTTTACCTAGAGTGTAGTGTGAAGGGCCCATTGGTTGGAACTCCGCTTGCATTTCCAAACCTGTACGTGCACCTGTTCTTCCACACCGGTACGTTTGTGTGGAGCGTCTCTTCTTCAGGAAAGTAAAGCAACCTCGCCGCAACCCAGTCTCAAATTCACGCAACCATTGGCCCTCATGTAAGTTATAATACTGTAGACTGAGTTTAACTTGATCACGTTGGAGCTTCAACAGGTAACAACAAAACACTGCCTGTACAGTCACTAGGGGTAGTAAAATTTCAACACTTTCAACTTCTGACTCCATCAGCCTCCAGTTCTGAGGAGGATGAGCAGGTACATTTTATATTTTACTGTGAGACGGATTTCATTACAGCTGTCCCGGTTACCGAGGTGGTACATACGTCATTATGTCTCATTGGCAGGAAGGAATCTACCGGTATGTGCTGAAAGTCCAGCACCTTTACATCATGACTTGTTCTACGCGTGACATTCACGAGCAACTAGCAGAAATTATGTACATGTAAGAGGTGTCATCCGTGCTTATCGCATACTACCCTCTCTATTGGTCGCTCGCGATGAGCCTGACTCTCATAAAACACTGCACGCCGGGTGATATCTCTTTCTTATTTAGCCGCTGACCGCTGGAACTCAGTTCCGGCATCGGTCTGCCTTGCTGCTTCACCAAGTCAATTTCGTATCGCAATCCTCCATTGGCTAGGGTACCCCGTAAGGAGACCATAGGTCTGTGGGGACTGCCCTAGAGAAATATGAATAAATACTACACTACCTTATCTGGAGTACGTAAGCACGGTGTGTACCAGTAGTGATGGAGGTCTCCGCGAGGGCAGCAGGGAAACTTGACGCAGCGTACTTTCAGCAGATCATTTGTCCTTTACGTAGGAATCCACCAGCTTTAATCTCTAAGACTAATCTGCTGAAAAGCTTGAAGCTACACAGGACAGTCAAATGCGTTGTCTATAACTAAGTATAAGGAATCCCGTACTCTTACTGCCCTTTCAGGTTTAGTCAAGTGCAAGTTACACTCTTTTCTATGAAGCAAAGAATAGACAATCGCGTGGAGGAATGCAAAAATAAGGACGCGCCGTGCGAAGGATGTAGATTTTATTGTTTTGCGGCTGTATTTAATTAAAGCGGTGAGGACCCTGACTAGCTCCAGGCACTACTAAAAGTGGCGTGGTTCGCAAAGCCACGGGAATTAAATTTACCGTCCGGGCGGCACTGATGCTCGTCTTGCTCTTGTTGTTACTTGGTGGAAGTCAGGATGCATTTCCCAGCTCGGTTTCTTCATTCACCTGACTGCGGATCAATTGTGATTGTGCTTTTCTCTAAAATGATGTAAAACACATATTCCGCACACCATGCAGACCAGCAGGAATGAATGAACCAATCCGTAGGTAAATTCGCACACTGCAAAACACTGCTACCGTGCATGTGCGTGTGTCCGTGAGTATATAATATTACACTGATCTTCTACCGAGTCGCAAGATCAACCACGGTATCTTGCAGTGTGCTACGAATGTCCATACCAGAGAACCAAATTCTAAGATATCCTCACAAAGACTAAGCACAGATGCGATAGTGCTCCCGGATAGTGGCACACAGACAGCGACATGCAATCTCACCACTAGCTACGCTTTACCGGGAAAGGGTTAGTGAGTCCTCTGGGTACTGAGCGATGTTGACAGCTTACTGTTTACTGTCAACATACAGTACTGTAGCTGTAAGACGTAATTGTATTATGCACTGGCCGTCCGGAATATTTGTATCTACATTGCACATGTACATCATTATTGTATGTACTGTATGCTGTACTGCCAATGTACACATGAATGGCACACAAGGACGCCAAAAGTACATGTACATGTACATGTATAACGCTGCTACTGGTACGTGGTTGGGGTCTACTGGTACGTGGTTGGGGTCTACTGGTACGTGGTTGGGGTCAGGGGGGCGCATGGAGTTTATGTAGGAAAGCGGTCACGAAAGTTCACTGATTCTACGCTGTAAGTTGTAGAGTCAGTGAACATCCGCGACCGCTTTCTTATGCCAAGGCTAGCCAAGCTTGCTTATGTAGGAAAGCGGTCACGAAAGTTCACTGATTCTACGTTGCAAGTTATAGAATCAGTGAACTTCCGTGACCGCTTTCTTGTGCCAAGGCTAGCCAAGCTTGCTTGGCGATGCCAACGCGGAAAAGCCTTTAATTAATAGTAGTTAAGTAATAAGATGTGCAAAACGTCTGCACGGAAATAGAGAAATTTTATGAGTCTAGGGTTCATTCATAATGGCATCCGCCTGATGACAAGGTGTTTAGCTCTCATAATTATGAAGTGATTGACTGCATGGGAGGCCAAACATTGAAACTTTTACTTGCATCCAGAGAAAGAAGTTTGGGACCAATCTGGTTTGACTCGTTTTTCTTTCTTTTCTGTAGCTACGTTGAAGTTCGAACTTGTCCACGGCGTGTCTCTTCTCCTTTCCAACCTGTTTGGGCAAAGCGGGAATCTCATCTTGTGTTTCCAGAGAGCAATACTAGCAGTTAGGGGTACTTTTAAAGTATGAGGATTATTTTCCTTATTCTAGTCTCAATGTGCTTCGGAGCGCCGTCACCTGTTGCTAACCAATCTACTTTCTCCAGTAAGTAATTTTGCAATCTAGTTCCTCCAGTAAGTGATTTTGTATCTGTATGTCTACATACCCATGTGAGGTCGGGAGAAAAATGGGCATCCTTAACCAACAAAGTAATTATCTGACTTAAATTGCCAGTCAGTGACTTTAGAGGCAAGACTCTGAGCTACAGGTACAGATTTAGCGTATTAAATTCATCCTCCCTAATGCTGGTGCTGTCCGGCGCCATCACTTCTCGTCTTGTCCAATATCTTGCTGTTGTCATTGCAATGCAGAGCACCTAGTTACTCTTCAACGCCCGTCCGCACACATAGTGTTAGCACCCAAATTGAGCATACCTATCTTCAAGCTTTTCCTGGTGCGTTTTTCCAGTTATTGGTCACAAATTTCATATCTCCATCTTCAGAGTCCTGTTTGATAAGAACTGAGCTTGATGGACGAATGATCGTGAGTTGCAAAACCAACGTGCTACTTCTCTATCTTGCTCCTCTGGAAATGGACTTCTGAAGATGCCGAAACCCACCGAGGGAGAAACGGCTAATGCCAAGTGCTGATGGAGAACTGTGAAAATCCCTTTGGCCAACACCGTCCAATGAACAATACAAAGCTCTCATCATGACCCGGAAATTGTGCTAAATGAAATTTTCAAGCATGAGACACACGTCGATCTAATTTTCATGCAGTGCCCTCCCGTTTTTTCAAACAGCACGCAAAATGACTACCCAACTGTACGTACTGTGCGCCAGTATACTCGTTATTGGCTCCGGCATATCCACACAAGCTCGCAAAGTTAGAGCATCCTCTCCGGCTAGTATGTGACCAGTGGATTAGCAGCAACGGCATCATGGGAAGTGTTGTGTTAAAATATCATTTATTGATCACTGATAGGCATATATGTAAAAATAGAAAAAACACATGAGAACGAGTTATAAAGCAACTAACCACGGCTGTAACAAGATGATAAACGGTCAGTAAGTGCCATAATAGGGCACAAAGCTGACAGGCTACTGAGACATTCAGCGACCCGTTTATTATCTTTTTACAGTCGTGGATAGTTGCTGCATAACTCGTTCTCATGTGTTTCTTCTCTTTTTTACACTTATTACTGGCTCAGTATCCGAGCTAGGCATATAGTGTGATATTATCCGTACAAAACTCCCTGGTTATATCAAGCACAAGGCAGGAGGAATAGGGATCACATACTTATGATTTACACATTAGTAAAAGAGCCCTCAGATGCCCCGCCACAGCAGGCAATGGACAACTACTTCCGTCGAGATGTCACCGGTGTGCGTGGACGCCCGAAATCGAACCTGGCCACGGCAGTCAAGGCAAGCACAGCTGCCAGAGACATGCCACTGAAGACCATGACTGATCTGAGTGGGCTCAGAATGCGCGCTTTGGACAAGCAATCATGGAGGGAACTCTCAGCCTGAGCTGGTTTTGCTCGCGGCTGCAACGCACGGGGTAGTGAACCCAGGACAGAAGCGGACCAGGCATCATGACTTTGCACATCTATCGTTATGCTGCTTCATTACGCGACCTGTTTTATTATTATTATTATTATTATTTATTAAAAGAGCACCAGTTGCCTAAGGGTGGGTCGTTGGTTCCATTTCTGGCGGTAGAAGTCAATTGTGTGTGCAGAATTTTACGTTTTAAACTCCATCGCACGTGTGCATACAGGTACATGTAGGTGCTATCGTATTTGTTTTTAACATTTTTGCCTTTTAATGTGAAGAACAGGGCGGTGCAACTTCGCGATAATTGGGGAATTGTGTGTTGCTCCCTACGTGGAAGCTTGCGCTGTTCCTGCCGACTTGAATACTCATTTGACTGACTCACGACTGCCATCCAGAGCACACGAGAAGTCCATTGAACCTTCCACTCGGCAAACCTGCAAGAAAGCACCACTCCCTGCTCAATACAACGTGTTTCGAGGAATTAACCCCTCATCAGTTGAGCTTCAGCTGACTGAGGAAGATACTTATATCGCACAATAGGGCTAGCGCAAGCTCCCAATTAGGGCACAACACACAATTCCCCAATGATCGCCGAAGTCGCACCAACCTCTTCTTCACATGGATGTCCCCGGCGCGAGCTTGAGAATTAGACGGTTTGGAAGCAATAACGTTGTCAATGGCCAACGGTCCTCAGCGTTTGTTCAGCACCTCCATGATCGACACTGACTAACGCTGCTATCTGGTGTTCACGAGGTGTTTATCGCGGTGGAAACGGGGCGTCCCAGTAAGTTAGTATCCCTGGTGATGTTTGGGTCTGGACAGCACTACATGTACATGACATTGTATAAGTGGTGCTGTTTAGGCACAATCCTCCTCAGACTACTCAAGCTCAACTGATGAGGGGTGAATTCCCCGAAAAAAGGTTCATTGAGCAGGGAGTGGTGCTTACTTGCAGTTTTTGCTGAGTGGTAGCAGGTTCGATGGACTTCTCGTGTGCTCTGGCTGGCAGCCTCGAGTCAGCTAAGTGCGAATTCTAGTCGGCAGGAGTAGTGCAAGCTCCCACGTAGGAAGCAACACACAACTTGCCTTCTAAGCTGGGTAAGATCTATCTTGCAGGTCAAGCTGCATGAAGATCACGTTGACTTATTGACTTATCAGTTGATGATCAGTCTGATTTCCTGAAAATGATTTTATCAAACTGTCTTTTTCCTATCTCGTGACGGGTTGTGCGTGTGAGGTTTGCTGGGGTGGCTGTCAGTAGATTGTCAAGGAAGACGACAAGAGGCTTGACACATGACAAGGCATCTGATTACTCCTGTTTAGTCTTGTTGGTCTCCACGATTCGTAAACGTGCCATTTATCTTCTCAGGAGTTCAAGGAATATGCCGACAAGCTGTGGGACCACCAACACTGCCCAATCAGTAGGGACAACTTTATTTAGAGTCCTTCTTGGGGAGATTCTGGCGCGTTCGCCATTTGGATGGCGAGCAAAATGTAGGTTGCATGCCATACAGTAGTATGGGGTGTTCTATAGAACGGTGTGTGGCTCTGCTCTCGACGCGACCGGCTTCATCGCCACCATTCCCATTGCTGCTGCACCAGTCACTCGCCCGGATGGCTGCAGCACCTAGTGAGTAGGTGGTAATCACATCGCAGTGCAACCATAAGAGATTAGATCAAGGTTGTAGATAAACATCTCTTTACCCGCTGCGAGGCTATGAAGTTAGCCCTGCTGGTTTCATAATATTTCGCGTCTAGTCGGTCGGTATTCAATGGTCTTGCAAGCCTAATAGCTTGGTCCCTGTCAATGTTAGAAGTTAGGGATAGACTGGTGTCCAACGCTCCCATTGGAATGGCGCAAGGCGACCAGTGCGACTGATTGGCAACTCAATACTATCACCTATCATGATTGATACAGGTAGACACCCAATACTGATCTGTATCGCCTTGCTCGAAATGAACGCACTGTTCGCAGTTCAAGCAAGTGCCGGCACATGTAAGTTCCTTAGACAAGCGAGAGTGGATGTATGCGTTCGATCAGCCTGCGAGCAGATAGCCTTTATGAGCTGAAATTGGTTGACCGGATGAGGGTAGAAAGAGAAAGAGAGAGAGAGAGAGAGACAAACACACACAGAGACAGAGAGAGACGCAGAGAGAGAGAGAGAGAGAGACACTCAGAGAGAGAAAGAGATAGAAAGAGAGAGAGAGAGAGAGAGAGAGAGAGAGAGAGTGAGAGAGAGAGAGAGAGAGAGAGAGAGAGAGAGAGAGAGAGAGAGAGAGAGAGAGAGAGAGAGAGGAGAGAGACAGACAGACAGACAGACAGACAGACATACGGATAAAGAAAGAGAGAGAGAGGCAGAGAGACAGAAGAGTGGCATGGAAAGAAGAAGAGTGGGAATGCGGATGAGAGAAAGACTCGAAATGTGGCAGGGGCGGAGAAAGAGCAAAAGAGAGCAAACGGAAGAGAGTTACTGGTTCTTCGAATGACTCCTCACAAAACGAGTGTACCCAGAAAGGCCTATCAGGTCACCGGTAACACCCAGAGCATCGTGTGGAGTTGGTGTAAGTGACAAGAACAAATACATGGTTTCTTGCAACAGAGATTTTGCCAGGTATAACCAGCGCAAAGAAGAGTGGCCAGAAATCAAACGGTGAAGTATTTGTCCCCACAGGTCACACAAGTCGAACCATAATTCTTGTCTGGTTTATTCACGCTCAGCCCTTTTCGTCATTGCTTATGTGTTCTTGCGGTACGCATTCTGCCCTGTTGTTTCTGGCTACTATTAGTTGAGATATTGTCATCACATTTCACGTCCACACTACATCTATAACATGTATTTTGCCTTTTCTGCTTCTTTGTGGTGTATTCTATCTAGGCTCTTGATGAAATGCCAGCAAATTTGGATTGATAATAGTTAGAAATTTTGATTTTGGGAAATCTGAAGTTTGCTCCTTTCTCCAATGCCATTGCACTTTTGGGCCGAAAATGTTGATGTACGTTGGGTTTCCTTGCTGCTCTACCCTATGATTGCAGTTATTTTGCCACGATGCGACAACCAATGTGCCAAGACTTGTAAAGCGTCCGGCACATCATGGCACATGAAGTGCGGCTGGTCTACAGTTGCTACCTTCTCCAAGGACGGCCAGTCCATTACCAACACCTCAGCACTAACAGCATCCAGCATGACAATCAGGAGAAAGGTCCGGCACGACGGTGACTTGCAGGTGTAAGTGCTTTTTCATGAGAGTGTTTTCCTCCTGGTCATGGATTACCATTGGAACAAGGACGCTTGCCGAACAATGCCGCATACTGTACATTATGTGTTCTGAAAAATTGATGGACAACCAAACGATTGGCTATTCTGGTTATGTTAACAAGTGCAATCAATTTTCATGCCTAAGGTGTTCTTAGAAAAATGGCAATTACTAATTTAATGTAAAAAAAGACCGAGAAGAAATCACATGAGAACGAGCTGTGCTGTAACTCGTTCAAATGTGTGTTCTTCTCTTTTTTACAATTTATTACTGGCTCAGTATCCGAGTTCAAATTTTACTAATTCAATGATACACATTTCCAATCGAGAAATTTGCTGTTCAGTTTCTGCAAAGCGTGGCCTCGATGAAAGGTTCGCTGGAGAGTTATAGGCTAATCGCATTGGGTAGGCTATGGATCTGACCGCACACAATTTGCATGTCACGCCTTGGTTCAACTCGTGTACGTTTTCAGATTGGAGGTTCTGAACCTGCAAGCCAGTGCTCACAGTGGCGAATATCGCTGTCGTGGAGTGAATGAACTGCGAACACTGTTATGGACAAGATGCGAGTGTCTAGTGGTCACATCGAGTCAGCAGGTGAGTCTGTCCATTGTGTGATGGCTTTCTCGCGTGACGTTTTCTGGAGAGTATATTTTTTAGCGGCTGGCAGAATTTAATTTCCATCACACCTCGTTCAGCAAAGCGCGGACTAGGACGTTCCTTTCGTTTAGTAGTTTCTTTATTGCCTGGAAGCCCCTAAGTCCGAGAAGCTTGACAAACAGGCAAGGGAATGAATTTCTGGACACTGCAAAGAGCTATTTGGAGATAAATTATTGAATTTCAATGTACCACAGTAAACCTTAGGACGGCAGTGGTTGTGTATTTTGGTTACGAGTTGTTGTCTGTACTGGAACATCGAGTGGATACAGCAAGAGAGTGCATGATACACGAATAAATCACTTACTGTGAATGTCCATGTACATGTATATGCATGTTCACTTCTGCGACATTAGACTGAATTACCTCACGCTTTTGATGACATTATTGTTGCACAAATTCATTCAACCGCAGGAACAGCAACAGTGTCTGCAGGCGATACGTCCAAAGATCTCTCCACCGGGGCCTCGCAACGTGAGAGGTTTTGAAGGTCAACCCAGCCTAGTGTTGGATTGCTTTTCTACAGGTATAGTTTCAGCGTAGTTCCGTCTCATCCCCTCTGGTCTGTCTCATACATTGTGTACAGTTCATTTGTACTTCAACAGTATTGCCCTTTGTGTTGCTGCATGGATTGGCAACTCCAAGATTGCCTGAACCTGTGAAGTATTTTACTAGTCTATATATTTTCAGAAAAGAAAAGGACCGAGGAACATCACCACCAGTTACTTGACAATCAGCTCATACGATCACATTTCACGGCACGTTCTACAACTATCTGCCAACCAGCTCTAGCACGCCATGGATGCGCACTCCGACAGCCTTACAGCTTGGATTGTTCGTTGCTTTGCGTCCTTGAATCGTCGTTGGACCGTATTGTCCAATGGTCTTGCAAGTATCGTCATCGACATGCATGTACATCCGCCAAAGTCCTTCAACACAGACAAGACTTTCAGCTTGGGCTTGTCTTGGTTGCACGCACCTTTCCCTCCTATGGTATTCCTAGGAATACCATAGGAGGGAAAGGTGCGTGCAACCAAGACATGATTGCATGAGCTGATTGTCAAGTAACTGGTGGTGATAGTGGACTTTATAGCGTAACTTGTAGTTCCTCGGTCCTTTTCTTAGAACCTTAGTTGTGGAACGCTGTTGGAGTGCGTTTCCAAGACGTACTAGAGCTGATTGGCAGTTTGCTGTGGAACATTAGCACTGTCGGTCAGTGTCGTGCAATGTTTGTAGAGCTGATTTTCATATAACTGGTGGTTAAATTGGACATTATAGCGGAACTTGTAGTTCCGTGGTCCTTTTCTTTGAAATACTTTCATCCGTGGCTCTCCATGCGAGTGTATTCCTTGTTTCTTGACTGCATCATATTCCTCCTGCTCTGACAGGCGGGGCTACTCACTTACGTCGATGGCTCTTCAACAGCTCACCTATCTCCAGCGCTAGCCAGTGGAGCCCCACCTACGTCCTGCGGAACGTGACAAGAAGCATGGCCGGCCAGTACACCTGTGAGCTGCTGGAGAAGCATAGACGAGACTACTATGACAGAGTAGATTACTTCGTCACAATACAGCAAGGTATGGCAATGGCGTGACATGCGCCTGATGTCCGTAAATGCCGCGTACACAAAGATGCGGTGTGCCTGGTCTCTTGGAGATGTACATGTATATTATGTATATGTATATGTATATGTATAAGGCTAGAAAGTGAAAAGGTGTTTCATGTGTTCAGCCAATGGCTTGTGAAGTTCGACCGTGGCAGACTCTGTTCGCACGCGATACTGACCTTTAAATATATAATTATCATATTTTGGTCCAAGCATACTTCATGGTGGGGATGATAAATTTGATTCAAGTTGCATCAGAGAATGTGAGCCTGCCTAGTAACATTTACACCTTTAGCATTGCCCACGAAAAGGCTGTGACTTGCCTGAAAAATTGCTTTTATTCCCTGTTCATTACTGCTGTTTTGTGTGTGTAATATTTTACTTTCCAAACTGTTTTGGTACAGACACCCGAAAGAGAAACATCAACAAAGTCATAAACGAGACATCGCTCGTGACGAGGAGGCTGACGTGTCCCTACGCCACAATGCCTTGGGCGCTGAATCAATCTGTCCAGTGGTATCAGGACGGAACGCCGCTAAACTCCAGCACAATCGGAGTATTCTTTGCGCGGACCAGCGTGATCATCGTAGATTTACGACTCCTGGATTTCGCCCGGAGAACAACAATCTCATGCAGAATGTCCGAGACCAACGTCGAGGCGCTCTTCAATATTATAAGTAAGCCGTGTTGACGAAAGTGTACTTGCTGCGCTGGTGTGCTTATGCTTCGTGCATTGGTTCCGCTAAGAGCGCATGGTGGTGACGGATGTAGGATATAGTGAAATGGCCGAAAGCTAGGAAGCAATGTATATTATATCGACAGATTTGTTTGATAACTGGCCTATCGAGATTACTGCATGATCTTCAAAATGTTGCGGAAGTCCACCGCCGTATGTGCATGTACATGGCACTTGTTTTGCTGTTATTCGGTAAAAGCGAGTTTGGTTCCGTGCTTGTTGGCACGAGGAACGTTTACCTATTTCTTCGTAACTTGGTAACAAAGCATCGAGTTTTTCTTCATTTAGGCCACCTATATCTCATTTTCTTTCTTTCTCTCCAGTGGTTCCTCCGGATGCACCAAGGAAGCCTCACGCGCGGCCAGGGAACAAAATCGTGGCCATCCAGCAAGACCACGAGCCGACAACGAAACTAATCGTAATCAGCACGTTCCGTCAAGGTCGCATGAGCATGGCGATGAGCCACCTGGTCGAGAGGTTCGAGAGCAAAGCCGACCCAAAACAAGAATTGACTCCATCAGAAGCCTGCTTCATGGCGTCCCAAGACTCTACCGTCAGTCTGGCTATTGAGTTGCAGTATATCACGCGTGATGGCATACGAAGCAGTAAAAGCGAGCCAGAAAACTGGAACTACCACCCAAGTACGTAGATTTGTCGTTGGAAATTTGTCATTAATTTTTTCATTGCATCTTTTAGTAGGGTTCAATCAATAGATCTATTTTGTACACAACGGTGTGTCTCCTTCGTGAGAACGTGCCAGCGATTGCATCTCACGATTTGCACTCTGCAAAAGCCAGTTACCTGTTGCTGTGTAGTTGCCCTGAGTGAAATCCAGCAAAAGCGCAAAGTTGACGCCCTTAACCAATTCGGATTACATCACTGGGTTTCTTTCTACTGTACTGGAACGTGCAGCATCACTGGAACAATTGGCAATGGCGTACACATGTACATTGCATATTGAGCACGCCAAATATGCTCCTTTGTCGGATTGTTCTCGCAAAAATGCACTTCAGGCATCAAATTTGCTCCCCCGTTCCATGTATTGTGGTACAAAGCTTAGCTTGAAATATCGTTCAGATAATGTAAAAGTGCCGTGCACTAGTTCCGCTTTCTTGGACGTCAGCATGTGATCTCTATACTGTCTGTTTCTTGATAATGGCGGCCCATATTCAGGTACGCTGACTTGTGTTATACTGCATGACTGTACTGTGTCCGTTTAGGTCTGGCGAAAACGCATCTTCACACATTCCTCCTGTTGATGAAGGCCAACGAGAATGGGTGTAACAGCAATTCCAGTTCTGCCACCAACACCTTGTCGGTGGTAAGTAAGACCTCGTACTGCTTACCAACCCCACATTGCCCACTTGTTCACATCTCGTGCTTCCTGGCATATAATCGATTCCGAATTCAATCTATTTGGTGCCATTTTACCCACCATTAGCCTGTTGGGATTACATCAGAAGCAGAATAATTCATGGTGCTACATTCTGAAACTCACCTTGCGCATGACCTTACAATCACTGTACCTCCACACTCATTTAATTAATCCAAGAATTTAACAGGTTTCCTTATTGTCTGTTCTTTGCGGGTTTGCCCGGCTCAGACTGAATTCTCTCGACTTTGGCATCAACGTCTAACTAATATCTTCAGCAAGCTGTGCTCATGTTGTTCGCTCGAGAAACCGCTTGCTATGCAATTGGACGAAACCACTGAGGACGTATGCACGACGTTTAGCCATCCCCACGATGTAATCCCTCTGATGAACTGCACTGCAGCAGGAGGGGCACTGGTGGAAGTGAAATTCGCAGTAAGGTCGACGACGGAGCTCACAAACCTAGCCGCTCCATTACATCGTTTTCTCCGCGCATTCCCAGTTTTATCCCTCAACGATGACTGGGAGTTCTCGTACCAAGGATTCTGGGTGTATGGTCCGTACTGGGAGGCATTCTCTCTTGGCAACCTGACCACCCTGACTGAGACAGCTGTTAGTGTGAGCATGCAATTCACAACCAGCCTGTGTGCGTTCAGTTCCCAATTGACATATATTGCACATGCAGAACCCACTAGCATGATAACTTCAGGAACTAAGGTCACTAGCAATGCCACAGAGTACATCACTTCATCAGGGCCGGCCACGACCCACACACCTGTTTCTAGCATATATCTTTCCCCTACAAAGAGTAGTGCGGACGTTATGCTAAGCCTATCAGCTATTAACTATTTAGTAGTTACCGTCTCTGTTCTGAATATTTTGGCGATGAGTGTCTAGTGTTGCCACTTGCCAGTGCTAACCGTCGGATAGTATTGAAGCTACTTTACATTCTTTGCGCTCCATCGCATTGTTTGTATGTGTCTTTAGCTCCAAGGTGCGGTATCCTGACCCGTACAGGTCTATCTTTTGTTTTTGTCTGGTGCGTGTTCTTGGCCGTGATGCCGAGACCTAATGGCCGTGATGCCGAGACCTAAGGTCAGCAGAGCCATCAATGCCCCACCATCACTGCTGCGTCTCGGTGCTCCTCCTGCTCACTATTTGCACGGTTGGTCCTAGTCTCCGTACGATGGTCGTTCATTTTCTTTTCGAGCTGGATATGTAGTTGAAGAAACCACTGCAGCTGTACTTACGGTTGAATTAGATGGTGGTAAAGACACACATGGCAATCTTCTTCTTGGATGTCTTCGGTATGAAGACATCCAAGAAGAATATTGCCTGATGAATCCAGCGGGGAAGAAACGTACAGTCGCAATCGAGCTATGTCGTTGCTGTGTCATCTCTAACTGTTATGTGCCATGCGCTACCTGATGTACCAGCTTGCTATGTCGGATACCGCTAAACATGAATCTACTAGGCGCCAGGCGCGAGCTGATGGTGATGGTGGCGAGAAGGAGAGCTCCGTTCCCGAACTTTGAAACCCATAGAGCGTGTGTGGGCAGGCGTGTTTTTACCGCCATAATCATGAGCTGGGTTTGTGAACATGGTGAAAAAGAAAGAAAAAAGGTACTACTGCACGCTTAGCGATCTTGATAGAATGGAATGCATAGGAATGGTGGCTGTGCACAACTCGTCCTGGTGCACTTGATCTTGTACACTTAGAGTCGAGATCAAACTTCTCCGACGTGGTTGTTTTTATTCCTTGAAAGTGCTGCCTGATGAGACAACACCACGATAATGTTCGTCTTGAGAAGTATCTGAAACATGCAATGGACTATTATTCAATGCAAGTATTTCTCCAACAGTGACCATGGAAGGCTTGAACCATACTGTTTACAGTCATAATTATTGAAGTAAATATTCTTCCTTTTTAACTACTCACTATCATTTAAGTAACGTGTTGGTATAATTATTCCTTCTTCTTCCACCCTTTTCACCCTTTCCGGCTTCTCGGCGTACAAGCAAAGTCGAGTCAAATCCGTCAACTTTCCCCCCCCCCTTTTCTTATGCATTTGAAAACTCATCATATCAAAATTAATGATATTCGTACGGAATTTCGCTGGTTTCTCTACATACCCTGCACAATTCTACAGGCCAAATGGTGCGGAACCACCAGTCGGCTACTCTATCCATGTCATGCGGGTGATATTAATTTATGACATAATTGCAGCTGTATAGTCATTTTGACTCATTCCGTTGACGTTTAAAATATTGGTAAAATTTAATATACCCCTGGCCGTGCGGGCTTTCCAAGCTGGAAAGTCATCCTCCGGAACATATCTCCCCTTCGCAACACCGCCACCATCAGTTCACGCATGATCCCTGATCAAGGCATGGCCAGTGGTATTAAATACCACTGGTTATATAAATTTTATATAACGGGCTGGCAATTCTTAAACTATCACCTAGCCGTTAGAAAATCAATGTTAGCAGCTTGTGATTGGATTTCTCACCTGCAATTTTCTTGGAACCCCTGGCACTGTGTTGCTAGAGAGGTTAGCAGCTTGTGATTGGATTACTCACCTGCCATTTTCTTGGAATCCCTGGCACTGTGTTGCTGGAGAATTGTAACTTCTCATTCTCACACTTTGCCCGTAATCTTGCGCCCATGTTTTGTAGTATAAATTTGACCATCTCCACCTGATATCATCCTACTCAATATCACCTTCTCTGATGAGCCTTATGAAGGCGAAACAGCTGTCAGGAGGAATTTCAGTACCTACCAGCAACCCTTTCTTGGTTGGTGTGTGTAATGGCTACTGAGAGTAGCAGTGAGTCGGCTGTGAGAGCGCATGGAGGAGAGGAGAGGAAGAGTTCTTTACCAAAAAATATGCCAATAATTATGCCAGCATAATCCGCCGGTGCCTAATGGGAGGTGGGTATGCCACACCCACGTTATCAAACTGGTACTTGACAGTTATAACGTTCGAATGTGCTTTACTAGTCCAATTTCTATTTCTCTGCCTTTTCGTTTTCATGTTTCTAGGCACGAACAGAAACACCTTTCCAGGGTGCTAGATTTGCTGGCCTCGTTGTCTTGGGCATCATTGTTGGTGCTTTTGGCCTGGTTTTTTTCATGTACAATCTCATATGGGTGTTTACACACGAAAACTAGGAAGCATGTCGGTGCACATCGGCCTCATAAACTATTCAGCAGACAGGAAGAAAGCCGATTTTTCCAATATTACGCTCCACGTACCTATGATTTCTGTCAATACTAATGAGACATTCAAAATGCGTAGATCACAGTCTAATGTTGCTTGGTTTTTAACAGCGTGTGCCTGATATACATTCACTCTCATATTTCGCAGCTTATTCTCTGTCAATGTCCAGCCCCTATCAGGCGTTAATAGCACATTTCCATTCCTGAAACATTTTGTTTAAAATCATTACTACTTTTTTATTATGGTTAATTAGGCTCTGTGCTTGTTTTCACGAAAGCCATTGTGCGCTAGCCGTATTAACTGTCGTACCCAGATGCACACATTCAATCCCAGGCTACGCTTTGGAATTGTTTTCGTTGCCTATGTCCTCATGTCTCTTCGTTTTGTTTTCGCTGCCTGGGCTCTCATTTATCTTTGCGTGCTTGCTTGCTTGTATTGCCGAGGGAACATATGCTGGTTTGTATTCGTGGTGCATGGGCCACGCGTACTCATCCGGCGGATATGTGTGAAGAATAATAATAGTAATTGTGATTCGCTTTTCATTCATACGTGCCCCCTAGCATTCAAACTACCCCCCCCCCCCCCTCCTCTCTCTCCTCTTTTTCTCTCATGATATTTGTACCTCAAGTTTACTATGAATCCGAGACCTCACGTTGGCCGAGTGCACTCGGTCTAACCACCCTTTCCTCCTCAATTCTACCCACATTGGAGCTCGCGCCCACTGGTAAAGACCTAAAAACGCTATAAGTAACAGGATGGAAGGGATAACCGATGATAACCCCGTCCTGAAATGAGCATATTCTGGCCTGACGAAATGGGGAGAGACATAGCGCCGAAAAAGGCGCCAAATATTATCATTGCTTTACATGTCTCGAGAAGGAAAAGGCCCGTAACAAAGCCCCTACAGCTTACACCAACAATAACATAATAGCCGTTAACGCGTAGTGTATAACTACTATACACGCGTAGTGTATACCTGACGATGGCCAAGTGCCGAAACGTTGTAAAAATAACGGAACTGGTTCGGATGTGATGTGCAGCGCTATGGGAATGGGTGTGTCCACCCGAATTCTTTTCACAGATGAAGCTGCAGGAAGCCTCAGCCCTTCTTCAAATATGATGCAAAAGTCACAAAAATCACTCCATTGAGAACTCTTTACGTGAAGTGCAGCTGATGTTGGCTCGCATACCATTCACACAATTTAAATCTATGAAGATCCATGTTCATTCATATTGAAAAAAACTGTTGTAGGGAAGGAAATTGTGAAATTCAAAATAAAGATTAGTAGGGTAGTATCGAAAGAAAGTTTCCACCTGAATCGATTTTGTACTAGAATGGCTGTGCGTGATAATGACACCATGAGAGCGAGTACTAGAAAAAGTTGAAGAAATTGCTAAATTTAAAATGAGATGATGTGCAAGTGAGTGGCAATGTATTTCTATAGGTACAGAAAGTAGGATATAAATTTTTATTCATTTTACATTGAGAAATCGAGATTTGAAAACAAATTTAATGCTGATATTCCACTACGCCAACTGGCAGTGTATCAGGGGAATCGTTCAATTTTGATTTTTTGGGACCACTCTTCGCCAAGCCAACAGCGTGGGTCGTACGTATGTGACCACCACAAAAGTGAATTTTATTATTGCTCCTATTCAGGTTCAGTCTATTGCCCTCGCGCTGGGCAGGTTTCTAGGTATGCGGTGACCAACTCACGATCAGCAACAGTCGGTAGGTCGAGGTCAGAGTAGTTCGTTAGCCCACAGTCCTCAGCAAAGCCGTGCAGTTGTGACTTCACCTGTGCTTCCAATGCATCAGCAGCCAGAGGCGGGAAGATTCTGTCCCATACTTCTTTGTTCCGGGAGGCCAGTATTGAGACAAACTCAGCCGGGGTGATGAAATTGCCGTCCACCAAGTTCTTCTTTTTTCTATTAAGCCATACTGCAGCCAAGCGCTGCTCTACATCTTCCAGTAACGTGGACGGCCACCCAAATTGTGAGGCGATGGATTTGAGAAATGCTGCCACAACGTACTTTCCTGAATGCAGAAAAGGTGAACAAGCCTGAATCAATTTAGAACTAAATTTTCTTTATCGTAGCATCAGAGAAATACTAAGTGGTTTTGTTAAGAAAAAAATGATGTTACACAAGGGACAGTGCAGTCATTCCGCTCGATGACCCATGCACGTTTGTCTCACAGACATCCATAGCAATGTGAGAAGCTAAGCACTTTGAAGTAGTTTTCAAGTACATGTAGAAACATGTGGAAGAGAAAAAAGACATATGGATACGAGTTAAGAGTAACTCTCCATCACTGTAACTGGATACTATATGCAGTCAGAAACTCGTATTATGTCCTTTTCCTTTCTACATTATTTATGGCTCAACATCCGAGTTACATGTAGAATAATAATAATAAAAAAATATTATTGAAAACCCATAATCGATTTTCTTGTTCCTATCATCAGTGGGAAAAATACGGAACTAATGGTTTTATTGCACTTGTATTTTGTTGTTATTTCTAACACCTTTCTATTTACGGTACTTAACTTCAGTTTCTTTGGTTGTATCCTTAATTCCGTATTTTTCCCACTGATAATAATAATAATAATCATTATAATAATACACACAGCTCGCATCCTCCTTGAACCTGTTAAACAGGAGCAGAGCCGATGCATCTGTCAACAGTGTCAAGCCAAGTTAGTCTATCTCCATCAGCTTGGAGAGCGATCTCCACGGAGAGATCCGCTGCCTTAAGGTCGTGCCGAATCGTATCTATCCACCGCAATGGTGGACGGCCACGGGTTTTTCTTTATGTCGTGTGTGTTGATGGATAGCTCAAGTGCTTGGAACGAGGCGGATTCTGGACCCTCTCGCACCACATGGCCAAACCAAAGCAGCCTGCGTTGCCGGCATGTGGCACTGACTGGAGATTTTTTTGTGTATGTAGAAAGATATTTAAAACGTACGGGTGCAGGTCTCAGGAAATGTCCATGAGCGAGGGCATACATCTAACGAACTTGTGAATAATTTTACATACCGTCCTCAGATTGCTGTGGTCGGGCAATTCGGCGTCTCTGCAGCTCCTTGCGGTGGAGTCTCTGTTCAGCTAGGATCGCAGAGGCCCGTAATGCTAGCAGCAGCGTCAGGCGCAACCTCTTCAGGCGAATCGGATCATCTGCAGGAGTCTTGTTGTCAATGGTGAACGTGTACTGCAGTGGTGAGCCTGTCCGGCGTGCTGCTGCCTGCCGCTTGAGCTCCATGTCACTGTCTGTGTAGTTTTCCCATCTAGAGCCCGTGATTATTGTCACAGGAACAACATCTGCGATTGATAAGGGACAACAAAGCATATTAAATTCGATGTAAATAAAAAACCATTATGACGAAGCAAACGGATTGTACTCATAAAAAGGACACACTTCAGGCTCATTACAAACGGATTGTATGATTCGAATCCACAACCACTCAAGAAAAGGACTCTGCTGGTCAGAGTTTCATGATGGAAACAATCACCAGAGAACGTTATCGTTGTCTCCAATCATCAGAAAACGTTGTCGTTGTCCGATGATTTGTTCAGCCATGAAACTAAGAGTCACAACGGAATTTGCCAAGGTTTTCATTGTGTGCCTTCGTGCATGGGTCATATTCATACAACAAAGGAGAATAACCTATGAGAGAACGGACCAAGTGAATCCCAACGCGGGTAACACACACATACGTGTACATGCAAGGACAGAAGGTGGGTTTCAAAAGCACGACCGCACGTACCAAGCTCACGCAGGGCATCTCGGGTACACCTTAATTCCTCCAGTTCCTCGACTAGCATATCCTTGATATTTACTTCGTAGGCCCGGATGATGTGCAGGACAGCATGGCATTCACCAGGCGTGTAGTTATCAGCAGTTGGCCTGATTTCTCGTGCATATATATCACCGTGGCGCAGCTGATTGGTGAAGAGAGCGCGAACCTTCGTAGCATTCATACGGTAGTCATCACCCTGGCCCTGGGGGGATCTCAACAAAAATCCTCCTTCTTCGGCAATGTCGGCCGCTTCCAGCAGCGCATCCGTGACACGCTTGTCACCTTCTCCACAACAATATTCCTGCAAGACATTTAACAAAAACCATCCGCCAGTCAAAATCTACCGGTTGGGGTCGATCAAATGTTTGACACTCTATATAACGAGGTTTTGTTTGGTCTTATAACCAAACTGTTAATTTTAGATTGGCATTCCTCACCGGCATTGAAGTCGTAGATGAAGATCTGCAGTACAATAAAGCTTTTATCGGTTTTCAACATACTATTATCATAGCCAGTTCGGAGTCATTTACAAGCTAGGCGATTAGATCCACACTGATGAAATTTATGAATTGTGGGTGGTTTCCTTCACAGCAGGGTCACACATCCGCCTGTGGTAAGTAACTGGCCTGTAGACTCCTTGCTGCTCTGGGTGCGAGTACAGAACATTTCACACTTGCATGCAACAAGAGGGGCCTACAAACTGCGTACATTACTTCCCTATCGGCAAGCCTGATTAAAATTTACGTCGAAGTAATTTTGTTAATTCCATATTGCATTATTTATAAGCAATTTTACCCTGTAACGTTCTGCTGCCTTGAGTGCAAAGCTTAATCTCACGTGACACACTATTTGGAGGCGGTGCATGACAGCTACGGGGTCCTACATAATTCTGCGTTGGGCTCAACTCTCTTGTAGTTACTTCGCACTGTTTGCCATCATTTTCTACTTTTGGAACAATGTTATGTCATGTGTAAACTCTGTGATGTGTAACTCTTCTGTCGCAGAATTTGGTAATTAGGCCTATATCGTAGGTGGTATTGCTCGTAAATCTCCATTGTTTCAGGACAACACTCGGCCAGGATGTCTAGAATTGGTGAATGCAATAATATAGAATGTGGCGGGTTACCTGTTGCGTCTCTGGCTGTCTGAATATCTCCAGGAATCTGTTGACTGTAGCACTCTTCCCGACACCAGAGCGACCAATCAACAAGATTCGAAGTTCGCCAAACTCCACCATGGTCGTGAGACCTGTAAACAATTCACGCGTTTGGCGGTTAGGCCTATATCGTAGGCAGTACCGCTTGTACATCCTCATTGTTTCATCGAACTGCAAACCGATACACACACATATACGCAATGAGTTACAATATTATTGAGTTACCCAAACGGCCAAATGTAGGAACGCTGAGCCCTCAATAAAGAAATAAAATAGAAAACAAATCGCGTAATGAAGCAGCATAACGATAGATGTACAAAGTCATGACTCCCGGTCCGCTTCTTCTTCTGTGGAGCCCTCCAATTGGAAGAGTATATATAGTAGCACCTGCATGCGTCATTGGAGAATAGATGCGAACGCACCGCCTCTCACTACGGAGGATTAGCAAGACGAAATTCGCGTTCGCGTTCGCTCTCCAAGGAAAGTCGAACTCAGTGACGGAATTCGCGTTATGAGAAGGATTAGCAAACAGAATTCGCACGTGCATGACGTTGACACGACGTACATTGTCTACAGACAGTACAGCGTGGTAAATTTATGACTGCCCTGACATGAATCCGCGATTCGTGTTCCGACTACTTTTCAGAACGAAAAATGCGAAAGTTCGCAATGCAGTTCGCGAACTGAAAAATGTTTACGAACGCGAACGCGAATTTCGTCTTGCTAATCCTCCGTACTATTGCAGAAAATTCGAATCCCATCCTCCCGGACATGTCCAGACCTTGTGCGGACCACAGTTCTGGAACGTACATTTTCATTTTACTGTAGACCAACCCTGTCAGGTGATGCAACCTCAATAACTGATTCATATTGTACATGCTTCCCTTGCTGCATCTCATGTTAGGCATTTAAAGTGGTGTTTGGATAAAGGAAAAGAAGAAAAACGTCTTTATTCATTGCATTAAGAACGTCACTACTCAAGCTGCGGACAGACCTGTTTCGTTCTTTGTGGACTCGCCAACCCAGCCCAGAGAAAATTAGCCTGAACGTGATACAGTAGCAATGAAATAATTTCCAAAGCGAGATTTAAACCAGGCCCGAATGTACTTAGTAACTTGCCAGAATGCTCAAACTGACAAGTGACGTCAGTGAGCTCTGCATAACGCAAGTAGCAAAGGCACTATCACACTGGTTGCTACATTGATCAGCAAGTAGACTATCGAACATCATGATATTCAACAAGACACATTTCACTCCGTTTTCACGATCAGATACCTGACTAACAAAAGACTGACGCGGTTTAGCACCCTTTAGAAGTCTGATATATGTATATCCACAGGAAAATGGTAAAACGCAACACCTTCACTCTGGCCAATTGCCTGGAGCAGGAAAATTGCATTCCGGCTAATCTACCTCACTAACACATTTGGGTTCAAGCAAAACAATCTGCCGGATAATTCCCATGAACACAATGCTCGGTCAGGTTGTGGACCGTTTAGAACTGTACCATTGCATTAGTGGAAGAACAACTAATTACTTTCAACTTACCCATTTTTCCATCTCAGCAACCAGCTCTTTTTCTTTTCCTTGTACCAGTTCATCTCGACTTTGTTTGAACTTTGCGGCGTCAAACGTTACCTCTTTCGTAAGATACTACACGTTCAGCGTACAGAGAGACAATGGCAATTTTGATAAAGCATTATTTCTCCAGCGTGGGCTCAAGCGTAACATCCTTTTCATGCTTACCGATTGTCCGAATCCCATATCGAAGAGCCCTCTTCAGAGGAGACGACTGCTAAGAAACAGAAGATGATGAAAATACTGAGCGGAAAAGTTGGCTTTCTCCCGAGTTGCTTTCCGTGTTTCGATATCCTGGAGCTTTACTTCGCATGAGGAGCGGGAAACAATGAACGTATGGACATCGCTGCAGGCACACTATGTACTGCTAGGGTTAGGGGACGTGCGTGCTGAAGAGAGTGATGCGCAGTACGCCTAACGTTTGAGCAGAGGTGCTCGTGTCGGCCTGCTGGCAGCGCTAACATGTTCGTGAGTGGCAAGTGGTTTTATGTGCAGCGGTGAACGTATCAGCTTTAGCATCAAAGCGGGTGGACTGAGCTCAACAGCTTGCTTCTGACACTGAAACTTGTGGAAAGAATTTCCTAAAATAGCAATGAAAAATATCAATTGTGCACTCATAATCATGTATAAACAATTAAAATGAAACAATTCCAGAACGTTTTCGTGTGACCATCATCAGTGGAACATCGTCACATAGTAAGAATCACTAAAACAACCAGTTATATAGCTAGAGTAACATGAAAAGAAGCGTGAGAATGCAGCACAGCTAGCGGTTATGCATAACGCGTGTAGTGTGAACCTTTGCAGTGTATCTGAGAATGGTAGCAGTAGATGAATGTGGCAGCTGTGAGTGCGTGTGAACAAAAACTGGTGAGTGCGTATTATTTAAAAAGTGTGAGTGCTACAACATTTTCTTTTTGCTTGCATAGAACAGGGTCACGTGTGCGAATATATACAGCTTCCAACACCTGCAACTGCTTAAAGAAACGCGCGCGACAAATAACACTAAACCAGGAATCGTCAAACAACTTACGACAATCCGGACTGGACACCAAATGCTTGTAGATGGCAGACTTGCTCTTGTCGATGTCGAACTCCTCCTCGTCCGTATCACTCTCATCCTCCACTTCCCGTTCCTGCTCACCCTTACTTTCCTCCTGACCATCCTGTTCATCCCCATCATCATCCTCCATCTCCATCTCCTCATGCCATCGCTTCTTTCTCCTTGACGTGTTCACTGCTGCGCCCGTACTTTCACCTGCCACTACTGGTTCCGCCTTCTCCATTTTTCTCAGTCGTGTCTCCGCTAGTCTCTGGCTTCTCCTCAGATTCGTTTTTCCTCCATTTTCATTTCGTTCTCCTGGTGATCTTTCCGTTACCGCCATCGGGTTTGTTAATGAACGGTCGTCCGGTGGTCTCCCATGCCGTGTTGTTGTCGTCAAGAGTGACACCAGATTCGTGTGTTGCGCTACTGTTGAGTCCGGTGTTGTATCCGTTTCTGGTTGTGTTGTAATACTGACAGGCGTAGTAGTAGGCAACGGGTGTTTTCTCGGCCTCCCACGCTTTGGCCTGCCTGCCCTGGCCGCTTTTGACAACAAGGACAATGGGACGTGTTGTTTGATACGTTCGGACAAGTGTTGAAGCGTCCTGCCAACATACCGACTACCGCACTGTCGGCATTCAAAATGATAAATGAGGTGACTCAAATGATGGGTCGGCAGGACGTCCTTCAACACCGTGAACGAACGTATCGTGGTGAAGACAGTTACTACATTCACTGCATAGTACGTCTTCTGGACAATAGACTTGACAATACGACTGACCTTTGTCGACTCCGCGCCTTTCCAAGGCAGGCACAGGAAGACACGACAAGGAGCCGGGCCGATTGTCAGTTCCTTACGGGGCGCATTGTTCGTGAGTAGTTTCGCTAATAGTGATCCTGGATATCCGTTCTTAAGAAAGACAGAGCGAAGAGAGTGATGCACTCACAGCTGCCACATTCATCTACTGCTACCATTCTCAGATACACTGCAAAGGTTCACACTACACGCGTTATGCATAACCGCTAGCTGTGCTGCATTCTCACGCTTCTTTTCATGTTACTCTAGCTATATAACTGGTTGTTTTAGTGATTCTTACTATGTGACGATGTTCCACTGATGATGGTCACACGAAAACGTTCTGGAATTGTTTCATTTTAATTGTTTATACATGATTATGAGTGCACAATTGATATTTTTCATTGCTATTTTACGACTGTTGTCTCCTCGTCGGTTATTTAAAGAATTTCCTGGTCGGCATTTGTTTCTATTTCCTGGGCTTTGCTAATAGTACAAAAACGTACAGCCTGGTGCCGTGAGAAGATATAGGGAAAGATTATTCTATTCCACATGGAAGATTGTGGAGCTCTATTTGCGTAGTTTAGCTCCTACGTCTGATGAGTGTTTTTTGAAACACGAAACTCGGAGTTTCGAGAACGATTTTTGGTCTCTGTTACTCTGCCCCGTGTGGTAAGCTCTGCCCTTTTTGAGGTATTTGCAGCAAAGACTCCAGACACTTTGTAGTTTAGCTCGTATATGAAGATCTTTTTATTGCAAAACTGATGGCGATCAACAAGGCGAGCGTATTTCTGGAAGTGCTGCGTCGGTCAGAAATCAACATGGTCGATTTCCACAGCATTCGAGACCCAGGGCAGGACAAGGACAAGTGGGTCACAGAGGAGCTGCGCCTAGGCAGGTAAGTAAATTACTGAAACCCGTCGTGTTGGAACACGCAACCTCCGCATCATCACGTTGAATCTGATGACTAAATGAATTTCATCAGCCACCACACCAGAGCTGTGCTCCCCAGCCGCCCGCACACGACGTTGCTGCAGCATACCACCGGCAAAGCAAGGTTTGGTGTGGTCATTGATGAAAATTAATATCTTTATTATGGCGATCAGCAAAGCGGACATTGGACGTAGAAATGAACAAAAATAAAAGATGGATAATAAAGTTTACTAACAAGTTTCTAGAGACATTCATCAGGGAAATACGTCTCGCTAATGAAAGATCTGTACACAGCCGAAAGCTGCTGCTTCCCTCTCTATCTAATCTGATGAATATTTCAATTAGTCAGTCTGAATATCTATAAAACTGTCAACGGTACCATTGGGCTGTTGAATAATACAACGAACTAACTATCCTCCTCCCTCCGCTCTAAAGCCGACCATTGCTACCCTCGGTAGCCATTACTCACACCAGTAATTTCAAGCAACAAAGGGGTCATGGGTATAATATTTCCTTCTGACAGCTGCGTCGCCTGTCAAAGGCTCATCAGAGAAGGTCATACTGATATTGTAATTGATAATTATGGCAATTGTAGTTTATACGGAGTAGTATGGATGCAAGAAACTAGGCAAGGTGTACACTGAGAAGTTACAAGGTGTACACTGAGAAGTTACAATAATATTCTCAAATCAGCATTCAGTGCCCAGGGTTCTTGGAAAAACACCAGGTGATAAACTGTATTCGCCCAATCAAAAAATGGTACCATTTCACATGGCTCTATAATCTGTCCCCCCGTGAATTCCGAGATTCCGCGGATTGCACAATTTCCGCAGAATTTACTGTTTTCAGCCCCAGACTTCTGCACGGAATTTCTGATATTCTGCCCCAGAGTTCACGGCTATCAGTATAATACAGCTCAGATATGGTCAAAACTCTTTTCTTTTCCATGATCATTTACGTATCTACACGCTTGTAGAATATATCTGTGCTGCATTATCGAGCAACTTCGAAGTATGCAAAATGTTAGCAATGGGAGCAGACGTCCAGGACCCTCCATCATTGACAATGCTGTCACCTCCAAACTAGCTAGTCGCAAGCCCACGCTGGGCAGAACAATACGAAATAGTGGTGGCGACTTTGGCGATGATTGTTAGGAAATGGTTTGCTCCCCACACTGAAGCTTATGCTATTCCGTCGACTTGATTTGACACTTAATTCACAACTGCCATCCAGGGCACAGAAGAAGTCCATCGAACCGTCCACTCACCAAATCTGCAAGAAAGCACCACTCCCTGCTCATTAAACCGTGTTTCGGGGAATTTGATTAGGTTGAGGAAGATTGTGCTTTAGGAGCACCACTTATACTGCTCTTCTGGCCCAAACATCCCCAGGGATACAAATCTACAGAGACGCTCCGTTTCCAGGGCGACAACGGAGTACTCTGATATTTCTAGCAACAATGCTAGTCACCAGGTTGGAATGTCAAAGGGGAAAATCCTCCCTTCTCGTGATATAGTGTGCAATTCAAGTACCTATTGGCGCCAATGCGTTTCACAATTCGGCTATATGTGAATTCATAGACTTACTGCTCTCCTTCAGACGTCCTACACCAGCTTTATGCATAAAATTCCATTCAATAAAAGAGTGCTGCTTCATTAACCATCCTCATTTTGAAGAAGACATCCAATCGTCGGAATATTTAAAAACTTTTTCAGTGTCCTTCCTAGCCAAGTCTTGTTCCCATTGTGCAGTTTTGCAACCTACCATTGTCGGTTACATCGTGCACCAGCCACAACGCGTTTGCATGGGATTGTTGACCAGTCAAATTCACATGCTTCATTCCTTGTTATCAGTGGCAGTGCCTGACAAAATTAATATTTATACTGCTGGACCATACAGATACATGTAAATAGTGCATGTTTTCAAAGCGTAGAGACATGATCTGTGCTGTTCTTTAACTGGTATCCCGTTCTACTTCTGGGTGTGCCTGCTTATAGGGCTTGGGCCAGGATCAGCCGATACAAGTCAGGGAGTTTCAACCAGATTCCGACCTGAACTGGGCGAAGGCACGACAGACTCGTAAGTATCTATAATACCCTGCCCGAAGTAGATGATTAAAACAGCTCATACTTGGCTAAACAAATAAATTAAAGAGCTGCTATTGCATGCAGTGAAACATTCCGTTGCTTCAATGGAATATTCACGACGAAAATTGGGCACTGGGATACCTTTTTGCCTTCTACGTGTTGCTCATTGTGAAGAAGTTGGTGACTAAACTAGCAGGATGTCTTTTTTGTTTTTGTTATCTGCTCTTCACTCCAGCACATGTAGAAACTGGAACGACGAAAGTTCCTATCCAAGAATCACAGCATCGGACAGAGACGCTGGACAAAACAGACGATCAAAAAGAAAGCGAGTTGACAAGACCAAATCGGCGAAGGGTGGCTGCCAAGGCGGATTTGAAAGCCAAAATATCAGCTGTGAGGAAACGGCTAACGGTCGGTGCGGAGCAGGAGCTGTGTCGAGAGGTGTTGGATTACTTCGGTCCCGGCATGGAGCCACTGCACGCACTTCTTCTCGGCTTGGATTCGTCAGGCAAAACAGCACTCGTGGAGCTGATGGAGAAGGCCATTACACATCGCTTCATGTCACGCAGCACACTAGCTGGATGTACAACTCGTCACGTGACCCATCATCGCATCAATCCCTACCTGAAGGTGATAGATACGCCGTCCGTTGCACTCCAGGATCCATACGAAGCGAACAACGTCCTCCTGAACATGTTCCATCGGCACATTCAGGATGGTGAAGAGGTTTCGCAGGAGCACAAAAGCCATGTCCCTCAGCAGAAACCCATCGACTACGACACTGTACTGGACGGCTGTCAGGTTGTGGCCTTTGTGATCAGCGGCGAAGACCTATTAGACCCACGTCAGAAACCGAAGATGAGGGAGCTATGTCTGAGGTTCTGCTCATACTTACGAACCCTGTACAACCGTGAGTGCCATCCATAAATCTTGAGATCTCAACATTGTGATTGAATGTGCATGCCCTCTAGGCAGATCGGCTTTCAAGTAATGTATTTCCAGTGTTCATGCCACCCCTCATCAGTTGAGCTTGAGTAGGCTGAGGAAGATTGTGCCTGAAGAGCACCAAATATATGGTGCTCTCCAGGCACAAACATCACCAGAGATACAACCGTAAAGAGACGCTCCGTTAACAGTGCGACAAACACCTCGTGAACACCAGATAGCAGTGTGAGTCAGTGTCACTTGTGGAGGTGCCTCACATTGTTGTCCCGTGCACGGGCTTGAAAAATTGATGGTTTACAGGCAACAATGTTGTGAATGGACAGCGGTCCTCGGCGTTGGTTGGGCACTTTTTATTTACGCTTCCGAAACCTTCCCGACAAAATCCCCTGCTTTGAGCTCGACTTCACATTGTATGATCACTCTTACTCCTACCCCATTACATTTTGTATAAGTAAGGAATAGAGGTCAACAAGAGGAGGATCACCTTCTTCATGGCTCATGTTGTGAGGACAATCCTGACTTTAACTGCTATGATGACTGCAGTATGTGTATTTGTGTACTGTGTATTTGTTGATTGTATGTTGCTGTTGTTAGCAAAAGTGCTCCCAGAAGAAGCTAGTGATGCTGGCTTTTCGACGAAGAGAGTGTGGATTCTCACGCACACATCTCGTGCTGTAGCGAACGGCTACAGTGAACAAGATCTAAAGCAACTTACACGGAGTCTTATTGATGGCAGCAGTGAGTCGACAGATCCTGTCTTTCTCATTGATTGCTGCGAGCCAGTAGTTCCGAACTGGAAGACGCCAGAGGAACTTAGACTTAGCCCTGCCGATGTCGTTCTCCGTGATGGTCAGTTATTTTCCAGATTTAATCTATTGAAAGAAAACCCTCAATAAGCCCATTGTGCATTGCCAAATATGGAATGTATTAGTAATGCATGTGAGTACGCTGGGATCAGCAATGTACAACTCCCCAGACGACCATGCTCAGGTGGCTGTGTCACCTGTGTGGGGTGTTCATGGTACAAATTACGTCATTGTACAATGGGCTTATCATCAAAGGCGAGAAGCCATGTTATGCATCTTTCACCTGTACACTATACATTCTAAAAGCTTGACCGTGCAAGTGTATGGCCGATGCAATGTTGAAGAAACGTTCCCGCATCGGAATATTATAATGTCATCTCTCCAGATACTGAGCCCACACAGAAATCAACAAAAAAACCCTACATCTTCATCTATCAAACAGGAAATAAATGGAAAACCCGAACTTTCCGTCAGGCCAACCATGTTGTCTGAATGTGACGATTGGCCACTGTTGTCCATTGTATGTCTGTCATACAGTCACTGGCCATGGAGGCTGCACGCCGCTGCTTCGAAACCAAGGTGCTGAATGGACAGCGCTTTCGATCCTGGACGAGATCTACACGCTCTGCCAGGAAGCTGTGAGAGAACGGCTACGCAGAGTGCAGGGAACAAGAGGCCGCGGACTAAGCCCCCGTGATGAGAACGGTAAGTGTGTTCTGATCAGGCCTCGTTCATTCTTAGGCAGTATCTCAACTGGGAGGGGCACCATTATGGGGGTACGAGGTGAGCTCACACGATGAATCTCAGGGTGAACGGAAGCCTAATAATTATACTAGTAAAGATGCTCTGCTCTATGTTTGGGGAACAATCCCGTTGACCCGACCCATCTGCACAGTGAAATGGCACCTTCTTGATATCTCCACCCTCCCCTCCCCCTCCCCCCCCCAGAGTAGCCTCTAGACTAACTGTTGGTACATAGGGCTCTATGGTTTTGGACCTTTGGTGCATTTCCGGTTGGAATCTTCTTTTTCTTCATTTGCACCCTGACTCCATGCAGTGGGAGAGGAATCTATCACAGTCCGCACCTTCATTCTCCAACTGTACTCTGGACAAGAAGCCCATCTGAAGCAGGAGCTTCACGTCATCGTCAAGTACTTCACTGACAGAGGGCTGTTCAATTTGGCGGCTCTCCGTGCCTCCAGAGGCACCAGGCCATTCTGGGAAGTGGTAGAAAGTCGCAAGACAGTTCCGAGGACGGTTCGTGACGGCATCATGGCCTGGGTGAATGGGGAAATGACGCTGAGTGAAACGCACTCATTCTTTCAACGTGCAGCTGTCCACTGAACTGTGTTTTTACAACTGTGCTTCAAGTTTTGGCCCAACAAAGCCTTCTTTTATCCCTCAGAGTTGCTAGATACAAGAATATTATTAATCATATTGTCTTCTCTATCCAGTGTCATTGTCAGCCATTCGAATTTATGCCATCTCCTTCTAGGTCACAATGAGAGTAGATGTGAATCTTATTTGACCCTATACAAGTCTCTCTCAATTAATTCATATACATGTAGTTTGATTCTTCCACGCGTACGTGTACATGTAGGTGGCAGGGAAGATAAACATGCATTGCATATTTACATGCATATGCATGTATATCTGTCAGGGGTGTCTTTCCTTGTAGAACCTTACTTCTTGATGAGTCAAAGGAAAGAGGTCCTGCAAATCCTGGAATGTGTTGCGCACTAGCTATGGCTCTAGCATATTATGTACCTCAAGCCCTACTTGTCATGGTGCCAGAGAGCTTTATATAACATGTTTTTTCGAGAACCTATATGCATATTTCTTCTCCTCTTCTCCGAAATGTTTGTCTCTGTTTTGTCATGACTCTGACTCTGTTCTTTGTTGGCATGCATACATTTTTTACTTTTAAGGTACACGTTCAAGCTTACTCTGCTAGTTGTACATGTACATGTACTTGCATATACACGTGTGCACCAGTTGTGCGACTGTTCCAGTTACGTTCGACTGGAGTTGATTGAGCTCTCGCACACGACGTTATGTTGTTCTACGGGAGGTTGGTCAGAACACGTACTAGTAGTAAAAAAAAGGTCCTGCTATGGCGTCATCATTCTGGCATAATATGCACTGAATCAACAAACTCTGGCTGGCCAATCCTGACGGAAATGTATAGTGAGATGAAATCGTTAGCACTACGCCTATGGACGGAAATTGGGAACTCCGGTTACGTTTTCCAACTTTTACATGCACGTGTCCCCTCACACTGTTATTTTTGGCGGGGCATGTTTTCTTCACATGGCCATCGATTGTAAGAAAACTCGTCGCACTCAAGTCTTAAACCCACACAATCATTGGTCTTCTTGTAGGACTCTTCAAATGAGCTATAATGCTGTAGATTAAAATTGGGCACTGTTGGAGCGTCAACAGGTAACGATAATAATTATCATATCAGATGAATATACACGTGTCAACATCACACACATTTCTTTCTTCCTATAGATAAAGCTAAAACAGTTTAGATATGCCGTGTCGTGATAAATATATTATTGCCCCCATAATCGGTCAATATATGAAATATAGGCCTCGTTTTAAGAAGATCTCGGCTTCGCCTCAGTCTTCTACTCGTTCTATATTTCATATATTGACACATGAAGTGAACGATATTGGATCTAAAACTGATACCAGACACACTAACAATCAAACGCTAGCACTAATAAAGGCCTTATTGCATACCCACTCACATACGTGTATCTTTCTCACCTGCACTTGTCCAATGTGCAGAGCAAGCTCGAGTACGCCAGCACTGCCTATGTCCACTGCCTCGCTGACAATGTGAGAGATCAGCTGCTACGCATAAGTAAGAGAGCACTTAGATGCATATTTGAGCATAACACATTCACGCGGACATCATACTTGCTTGAGCGATACCACATAATTAGCTTAGACAAAAGATATCATACTAAGTCCATATTCTTCGTGTTCCGTTGCATCCACAATATCTGCAGTTCACTCCTCTCTGACATGTTCTCCCTTCGCCGTGACTGCGCTCACACAGACAGAGTAACCCGCGGCCAAGTCAATTATTCCCTTTCCTTACCCATTGTGCAAGCCCAAGCTGGATACAGATCTATTTCATTCCTTGGTGCTGACCGCTTTAATGCGCTTCCCGAATCCCTTCGCACAAATCATATCCCCAATTCATTTCGCCAGGAACTTAACAATTTCATTCATCTTGGGCACCCTGTAAGAAGACCTTAGGGTCTGTTGGGAATGCCCAAGTAAAATAATAAAATACAATACAAAAAAAAAAAAAATGTGCACATGCTATCACACTGCTCCGCTCGCTGCCCATGTACTAACGCCTTTTACTAGTCCTACCTTTAGAATATTATGTGTTCCGGGTATTCGTTTTAAATCCAATATCGTTCACTTTATGGTACTCTATAACATACGTTGCCGGCAGCAGCATTAGTTGAGTCCATCGAACGTTACGTGGAGAACAGTCTGTGTTCGTCATTATCTCTAATTGAGCCACCTTAAGGGATGTTCGATAAACAAGCCAAGCAGCCCCTCTAGACACAATTGCTTCTCAAATCCCGGAAGATACATCAGGTTGGGCCGAACATCACTTTTTATTTGACTGGCTGTACGGGCTGAAGCAATTCTAGGCCAGGACGCTTGAATGGTGACAGAAGATGTGTTGTACAAAGCAAAAGCGCACATGATTCCCAGTCTAGATCTACGTCAGTTTCTGCAGACATGAGTGCAAGGACTGGTTATGCAGGGCTATGCGAATAAATCTGAAATCATTGACTGCGTAATATCCCTGCAGGCGTGAAGAATCCTGTGATCGCTGTGATTGGAAAGCAACTCACAGAATGAAATTGTTGTTGAAGTACAGGGTAAATAATCCCAATAATATTCCCAAATATTTTACGATGAAGTCACACGCGATCAGAGAGCTAGAGAAGCATAGCTCAAGTTCACACAATCACGGGCCAAAGCCCAAAGGGCCACCTTAGCCTCCACAAAAGCCAGGGAGGCACAGCCATCAAACTCGTCGAGCCCCACTCAGACACATGATGCTCGAACCAACTCCATTGATCGGCTCTGTAGACGATGAAGCTGGAGCACATAAGGAGTGGATCTTGGTGGGGGGGGGATCGGTCCTCACTATACCTACCATGAATCTTCAAACTGACGACTGTCAATATTTTCTGGAATACAGTCCACGCCATTTCCAGTGTATCCACCCACGCACTGAGGAGTGTACACAAAACATTGAAGACGGTACAATGAGTACAGTTGAAATCACTTTGCACGCACCCTGATAAGATAATCCCTTGCTTATTACGGACGTTATTCGAGTCCCGAGTGTAGTGAACTGTGGTGGGATAAGACGTCCCTCAGATACAAAGAACACTGTCTTGTTCGACGCTGTGTCTGACATTAGGCAAATGTACAGTTGAACTGTGGTAACGCGTGCTCCCAATGGTTAAGATAATATTATTCTTTTGTTATCCGGGTAACTCAGATGGTGATCCAATTTAATTATAGAAGAAAAGGAGAAGGACAAAAATGTTACCAGTTATGACCAACTGTCCACCAAACCTGACTGTATAAGTATGATCTGGTAACGTTGGTGGACAGTTAGTCATAACTCGTAACATTTTTGCCCGTCTCCTTATCCAAGGAACTTATTCTTTGATCATACTTCACTGTGGATCAATACACCCGTGCTCTGCACAAGGTGTGTAATAGGCAATGGTACGTTTTAACAGAGGGTAGGTAACAGGTGCGTTCCACAGCAAATCAAGATCCTGCCACATCGAATCCAATGCAAATGGGTTTCAACAAACGTAAAAATGATGAGAAAAAATTCAAAGTGTAATGCTGTAAGATGAGAAAGAGACCTGCGTGTGGGTCGAATGTTAACAACAGCACCTTCCACAGAATGCATGGAGTTTAAAAAAGATACGGTCACAGGCAAGAAAATCAGGTGTGCTGCTCTCTGAATTATCCATGACTAACCTGGCAAGTGACGTTCGGCTGGGATGATCCAGCATCTCGTAGTACAATGTCGCAGGTAGCATTGCCACTGCAACCCGCTTCAATACACCTAATACAGTCCCCGTTCGTGGATCTTGTCCACCCATCAAGACAATCACAGATGCAGTCAACCTGAAAATACAAAAAAGAATAGATTATCAGACAAAATATGCTAAAACGACTATGATCAGCCATTAACGACTATTAATGTCTCCCAGACACATGAATGGAGAGATGGTACAAAAACAATGAACATGTGCCATTGAAGATGGTGGATGGCGAATGGTAGATATCCAATAAATTTGTCGCAAGGAGTGGTGCCATCACCATTGTTAAGCCCACCTTTAAGGACGGTCATATCATCAAAACATTTGCCCTGCACTTGGCACAAAACAGTGGACAACGCAAAATTCACTTTAGCTGGTGAATTCAACAGTATGATTGTTTGATGGCAAACCTGATGTTTGCCTATAGAGATACTAAAATAATAATATAAATACAGGTCGCATGTCTCCCAAATAATGGATTCCACGCATCTGTCAACTGTTTCATCATGAAATTGCAGCAGGAAGAATGGCATACGAAAAACGATATACAGGTTCCAGTTCATGACAAGCACATGCCATTTTTTACACCAAAGCACAATAGTCAACGAAGTCCAGCCATAGCGGTTTGTCCCGTGCAGTGTTGAGACAATCCTCGAGGGTGTCCGAGAGGGGAGATGTCGGATTTCACCACATCAATCCACCTAAAGCGAGGGTAATTATAGTGACATAGGAAAACACTATGCAGTACGTATATGTCCTAGTCTCAGTACCATTGTCATCCTTTATTATATTCGAGCTGGGAATGTGAACAAAGTAAAAAAAATAAAAAAAACTTTATCAGCACTTACCAGATTGAGTGTTTCCGTCTCATTGTCGCACGTGACCTCCATTATACTGCAATTCCCTGCATAGAATGAGACGAGAGTGTATTGCAGTCCATTGAGATAACAAATTCCGATCCAAAAAACGACTTTATAGTTCGAATCATTTTTGCAATCGTTCTTTCTTTCTACATGTATTTCTCTTTACTGTGTACATTGTTTTAGTATCGTTTCCATAATAGTTCACAAGGCATTTTTGGCATGGAGACTCCGCTGTGAAGTTGCACCCTATTGGCATCTATTGCAACATTGGTATTTTACTCCAGTCTCCTTTTTAGCCGCGAAACCAGACGCATTTTTACTGCGCTGTGATAGAAGAAGAGCATGTCGGATTTCCAGATTTTACGAGAGTTTTCTTTGATTATCAAATTGAAGTTATAATTCAATTCTACCTACATGTACGTACGTTCTGGGTCTACTGTCACTCCAAGTGTGCTTGCAAAGCCATGCATGCCTGTTGCGTCGCTGGTCCGTTGGTTCACTCGCACGTCCGATGTCGGTGTTACAATACTTGTAAATGACGTCATTGGGGACGTTCCCGGAGCTGGCTGCGCGGACGTCCTGAAGTAGATTACCATCACAGCGGCGGCGATGCACAGGCTGGTCAGCAACAGCATGATGATGCTAGCAGCGACGGCCAAATTATGTGTCCGCCTCCTTGACTCACTCTTGCCTTTAGAAGTGGTCTGCTGGCTTTTGGCAGACGTACCATCTGGAGATGAGAAAAAATAATGATACATGGAAGTGACCGTACACACGTACAAGTAGGTTAACATGAAATTTAATGAAAACGTCATAAGTTGATATGATAACTTGAAGCGTGAAAACGCCTGTACTAATCCTACCTGAGCTTGCAAATTTGCTCGCAATCACACTATTAGCTCTCGACTCTTGCCTATACCTCTATATTCTACATAATCAGCAGACTGCTTTAAGGCCACAGAACACTTTGA